TTTAGTAAACCTGTGGATGACGTCTAAGAAGAAACTTAGGGTTTCTATCTCCCGTTTACCGAACAGCGTATGATTCTTGCATCTGCATAGTAGATGTTCATTTGTTTAATCTAAGTCTTCTTCGTCCTCAAATAGTCTACAGTAGTCAGGACCACCGTCATCCCATCCAGAGGTCAAATACCATGATTCTTCGATAGCACCTACTAATTGAAATTCAAATAGTTGTCTGATTACTTACATCACTTCTTGTTCATTAAACTTTCTAATGCGTTAAGTTGAAATTTAATCGATAACTTAAAATTAATTTTCTCGAAACCGAACTTTTTTCAAATTTAAAATCCTTTGAGTAAGATTTAATATTCTCTACAACCGTTAACCTTCCATTATGTAAATGTGCACCGTTTGTCGAACCGGAGGATAATTATCACCCAACCCTCAATATAACTCTTGATCTTAAAACTCAAATAACATCCAAACCACTCAATAAAAAAATATCCTTTAACTTTTCCAAAATTAACATTGATTTGTTACGTACTACTCTTTCCAATACAATCCGGCGTCTCGAAGGTGATATTGATTATTGTATTTCCGATTTTTATAATATCTTAAATGAAGCCTTTAAACTAACAGTCCCTAGTTCAAATTACGCGCCAAATGGAGGCTCGCCATGGTTAACTCAATATTTAAGACGTTTACGTAATAACAAAAGTAAACTTTTTAAGAAATTTAAAAAATTTAACTCATCCTTAACTACTCCAAATCTCGAAATAAGTATAATACTGAAAATTTAAAATGTTATTCGGCATATCTACAAAGAATTAGAAATACACCTAAGTCTGTTTTTACACGGTCTTTTTGTACACGGTTTTGATATAACACGTTTGAAAATTGAATATTTTTAATTTTTTTTACACGATTTTATTCCATTTAGCACGATTTGAAATGTTATGTACTTACATTTTTAAATTTAAATTTAATGTTAACGCATTAAGATAAAATGTGAGCCAAAAAATATTTTGTATTTATTCAGTTATTTATGTTTTTTAATTTTGTTAAATATTTTATGTATCCCTAAAAGGAAATGTCAGATAAAAAACTAAAAGAGAAGGCAATTTCTTTGGAAACCAAGATTAAAATTTTAGATCGCCTTCGAAATGGAGAAGGCTCAACAGCTCTTGGTAAAACGTTCGCTTGAAATGAAGCCACAATAAGAACTATAAAGAAAAATGAAATTGCAATTAAGCAACCGGTGATTTCATGAATTCTTGTTCTTAAAAATTCTTGTTTTTCACTAATTTTAATAGGTTTTAGAGATTAGGAACAAATCACCCATTTTTGTATAAGACCAATGTCTTTTTTACACGGCTTCTTCCGGAACCAATCTACCGTGTAAAAACAGACTTAGTAGGTGTAGTTTTCAACGCAACCCAAAAAACTTCTATAATTTCGTGAATTCTAAAAGAAAATTTCATGAATTCCCTAGCTGTATGAAATTCGGCAGCACAGAGGCTACCGATGATTCTGATATTGCAAACATGTTCGCAGATTTTTTTCAGAATAGCTATTCAACATTTGCATCCACTAGCAATTACAGCTTTAACATTAATAGACTGAATTTTTTGCCCCAAATTTTGCTTACGGAAGAAGATTTTTTAAATGGTTTAAAAACTTTAAAAAGTTCGATCTCCCCAGGTCCAGACGGAGTACCGGCAAACGTTCTTAAATTATGTGCAATTGAATCATACATACCACTTACGAAATTATTTAATTACTCTTTATCTTTAGGCTACTTTCCTTATTTTTGGAGATCTAGTTATATAATACCTCTCCATAAAACTGGTAGTCGTTGCAATAAGCTTAGCGCAATACCTAAACTTTTTGAATTTTTGGTTTCGCGTAGGCTAACACACTTTGTGGCTCCAATTTTTTCACCGTGTCAACACGGTTTCATCAGAGGTAGGTCAACTTTGACTAATCTTATGGAATTAACATGCTATGTTCATAATGGCTTTGCTAATAAATTTCAAACTGATGTAATTTATACCGATTTTAGTAAAGCTTTTGACACTGTCGTACATAGTTTATTACTCCACAAGCTTGATTTAACGGGTTTCCCTACATTATTGTTAGACTGGATTTCATCATACCTTGAAAACCATACTCAAAAGGTGTCTTTCACAAATACCATCTCAAAAAATATTCTAGTCCATTCTGGTATTCCCCAGGGAAGCCATTTAGGGCCATTAATATTCGTTCTCTATCTCAATGATCTTCCGTCAGTTGTAAGGTTTTCCAAAATTCTAGTGTTTGCAGATGATGTTAAGCTGTTCATTAATCTCGATTCTCTCAATAGCTCATTACATTTACAACATGATCTACATTCCATTGTAAATTGGTGTGGAATAAATGGCATGTCACTAAATCTTAAAAAATGCAAAAAATTAACATTATTATACCCTACAACACTATGTGTTGGGGGTATTATAAGTTTGATTGGGCCAGAATTTATGCAACACCTCGAAATATTGATTTCCCATATAGGAAAGTATATATGGATCTTCCTAGCTCGCCGAGCTGAGTCGATCTAGCTATGTATGTCCGTCCGTCCGTCTGTCCGTCTGTCCGTCTGTCCATGTTAATTTGTAATCACGCTACAGGTCGCAATTATGGCCCGATCCTTACGAAATTTTGCACGAAGGTGGGGTTAGGATCAGAATAGAAGCCTATTTCTTTTGGAGATGATCGCCAAATGTTTAGGGGTTGAAATGGACCAAATACTGAAAAAATGTCGGATTTTGCAGTAGCTATACAGGTTGCAATTATAGACCAATCGCGGAATTTCGCATGTAGTTAGAGTTTAGGGCGGGGAAGAAGCCTACCAATTTGGGTGGTCATCGGATAATATTTAGCGGGTAAAATAGACCATATCTTTTTTGTTGAAAAAATTCAAAATTTTTCATTAAACCGCGAATATTTTAAATCCCGGCGAAATCACAAAGCCATGACAAGGTTACTTCTGATCTTTACATTGATGTTAAGATCCAACAAATCGGATATATAGCAAAATATGTGCGATATATATGTTTATCAAAGAAGATATGCTTGAAAGATCTCTTATATGTCGAGAACGGCTGAACTGATTTCGACAGTTCTCCTTAATTCAGAATGGCCTCTTGGCAGGAAAGAAAAAACGTCTAAAAAAATCGCATAAAAATATCTCTCTAAAGATGAAAATATTGATTTTTTAAAATTTTCTCATATTTTTTCAATTTTGTCATATTTTTGGCATATTTTCATTTTGAATCAAACATTTGGTAATATTTCTACAGCTAACAAAACTAAGTAATTGGGATATCAGGATATCATATACAGATCGCATTTACGGCCCGATCCTTACGAAATTTTGCATGGGGATAAGATGAGGGTCAGAATAGGAGCCTACTCTTTTTGGAGATGATCGCCATATATTTAGGGGTTGAAATGGACCAACAAAACTGCAAAATTGTCAGCAGGCCGTAATTATCGCCCGATCCTCACGCACATTTGAATGGGTGTTACCGGACATTGCAAAAGCCAAACAGTTTTGGATGGCCATCCAAAAATATTCAATGTGTGATGAAATAGTTTGCCAACTTTTGTAGACAAAATACGAAAATGTCCATTCCAGTGACTTTTTGGATAATTCGCAAATACTGGAAAGACGCACTTCTGACTTCAAATGTCTATATCTCATATAGATGCGTTTCAGTCAAAAACCAATTATAAATGTTAATCATTTACTATTTCTGAGAGATTATAGGTCTTTGGGAAATATTGGTTCCAGATCTAGGAAGACCATTTACGTGCAACATCTTCCAATAAATTGGAAATGAACAAATTAGTTAAAGTTGCTATTATTCGAAAATTAGAGATCGAAACCTGATGGTTTTCTTTTATTATTTGTCACAATATCTAATGGAATTCTTTGGAGTATCTCGCCTATATAAACTGTATCGTTTATTATAGTGTTGTAGGGTATTCAACGGTCGGCCCCGCTCGACTGTAGCCTTTGCTTACTTGTTCAGATCTAGACATATTCAATCTGATTACTTCGTAGGTTCATACAAATTGGAGAATGTAGACCCATTTATTGATCTTGGTGTTATTTTGGACAATAAACTTCGTTTTAACTTACACATTGAATCTAGCGTTAATAAAGCAAAGTCTCTTCTAGGTTTCATTAAGCGCTGGTCTAAAGAGTTTGAAGACCCTTACGTAACTAAACGCTTGTTTACTAGTCTAGTTAGACCTACATTAGAGTATGGTTGCGTGTTGTGGTCCATTTTATAAATGTTACTCTAATTCAATAGAAGCAGTTCAAAAACAATTCATTATATTCGCTCTCAAAGGTCTGCCCTGGAATCCGTCTGAAGCACTCCCCCCCTATGAAAATCGATTAAAACTTATAGACCTTCCATCGTTAGAAAGAAGGCGTTTAATGCTTCGAGCAATATTTTTAATACGACTTTTGCGTGGTCAAATTGATTCACAATTTTTAATTAGTGAAATAAAGTTTAATGTTCCGTCTAGAATAACTCGTAATTATATACCGTTAAATCTTTCCTTGGCGAGATCTAACTACGAACTAAGCAACCCCCTTAGATCTTTATGTGAAATATATTACAACCTCTATAATAATTTATCACTATCTGAACCTTTGCATGCAATAAAAATATCAATACTTAATTTGTAATTATAGTATTAGGAGCTGCCAGATTTGTAGTTTTGCTCGTTGTGTGAGGAGGATATATTTAAATTTAAAATGCAAAACCTTTTGTTGAACAATAATGATTGCCCATGGCAATAGCTACATATATTTTTTGTGCCTTAGACTGTACTGTACATTGCGAAAACATGTCAAATGCGATGATCCTAAGGATATGGAATAGTGAAGTTTGCCAAACTAAGCTTCGATTAAAGAACTGTAGCAACATTCGAGGTCCCTTTTTATAAAAACTCACGTTTTATGTGAATGTACGCTCTTATCCAATTCACAATGAATCCAATGACAGGAACACGTTCAATTTCCACATCATCTGCGGTACAATTTAAGCCGATTGGGCCCCAATCATCTTTCATTTGACAGCGTCTGCGGTATATGTAATTCGGCGATGGCGACGTCTCATCATTGCCATCATCGGTTGGTAATGTCGTTTGCACTGCTATTGTGCTGGTCGTTTCTTCATCGACATCATCATCGTCGTCGTCGTCTGCATCTAAATTGTTTTTGTTGAAGTATTTCGACAGTTTGCGAAATAAGTCATTTTCATTTATTGTCGATGAGTCCCCGTAATCATTCTTGGAGTTGACGTCTGCGAAAAGTAACATTGAAACCAATCACTGGGTGGCATTAACCATTCGATTTTGACGCATTCGATTTGATTGACAACGTCCTTGGGCAAGGACTATTAATTACACAGCCGCAAGAAGGTGGTCGTCTGTCGAGGTCAAATGTGACTGCCACTCAACGAGCATGTCAATAAATCCGTCTACAAACAGTAAATGCCAATGCCCAATCATCGGTACATCCTCAACTACATAGGTTTCGAACATTAATTATTACCAATGGTTAATATATTTATTCAAATGCGTGCACAGCTGTAATCATATGTTCGTATGTGTGTAAGAGATGCACTTGACAAATGTTGTTTCCACTTATTAGTATGTGAATGAGATAAAGCTCTTGCTATTTGGCATCGGATGTAACAAGCAACGTACGCTCTTTTGCATAGGAGAGTGTGAAGAGTGAACGAATGAATGTTGGGAAACATAACCGATCATAGATAAATTATATATGTATATTGGAAGATATTCATTCATTCATTGATTCATTCAACTGATTAAACCTATGATTGATTCCAGGGTTTTGTGGCAAAATTAGTAGTTTGTATGTGTATGTTGCTGATTTAGTTTGAATGTTAGATACACACGTTTAAAATAAATGTGTAAAAGTACATCATCAAAGGAATTCAAAGGTCGTTCATGTTACCAATGAGTACTGACACACACACACACACTTTTGTGAGTGGTACATCCTGTATACCATTGCTAATATCTATGAATAGCTTTATCTTTATAAGCAGTGAAAATTTGCAAAATATGAGTATACCAAAGTAGAAATGATGTGTAGATTAGAGATTTCAAATTCATACTACTCGGGTACTAAATGTTCATTTAAAGCATTCAAAGAACTAAAAATCTGTTAAACTTTCTGTTAAAAATAGATATAATATACATTTGAGTAAAATTTTATCCACCTACTTCATTTCATTCGGGAGCTTAATTGATTTCCACTGACGGACGGACATCGCTAAATCGACATAGAATTTTATGCTGATCAAGAATATATATATATACTTTGTGGGGTCTAAAATCTATATTTCGAGATGTCACAAATGGAATGACAAACTTAATATACCCTTCATATTGTGGATGAGGGTATACAAATATAGACTTTATGGGGTTTCAAAAGCACAATTTAAATTACAAAAAATTAATTCCCATCTTACGTTAATGGATTTAAAAGAGTAATTATATTTGACTATTCTGAAATCATTCTGCCATCAATTATGAGATGGACAAAACCAAATACCACGAAGCACGGTATTCTAAACGTTGGAAATACAAATTCCCAATTACAGCTCATTTGAATGGAAAATTTTGCTAATACCAAAAATTGAGCTGGGTTTCATACGGGGCTATTATTGATGTTCTATATCATAAAACTTTTTTTAAAACTCAAATTAAAGCTATGGCCGAAAAATAAGATCAGGTTATTCAAAATATCTAAAACCGACGGTAGGTGAACATCTATTATAATTTTTAGAAATTACTGCGGAATCATTAATTATAAAAAAATTGTGCCGGTTACATAAGTCAGATCTGTGCTTTAAAAAATATGCATTAAAGACTAAAAGTACCGGCCGGCAACGCGGACCGGGTCAGCTAGTACTTACTAAAGAAGATGTACGAAAGTTTGGAATAAAACTGAAATATTGGAAACCCCTACGAGAACCACAACTACTATGAACTACTCGCTTTCTGTAATAGGTCTAGAATTCCAAATCTTCCCAAAAAAATATAAGAATAATATGTGTGTGCGACGACTTCAAGCTTGGCTGGGACGACCTTTTTAAGTCCTCTATAATATGAAAACATGACTATTCTAGAAATCCCCAAGATCTTGTTTCGGAAGTTTCCTTATATGAGGGCATACCTATCTATATATATAAATGTAAGTTGTGTTAGTTACTACGCTTATAACTCAAGAACCGCTGATCTGATTTTAACGATTCATACAAATTCTGAATTGTCTCTTTTCCGAAAAGGATAATATTCAAAAAAATCGCGTAAAAATGTGATATATTAACATTTTCATTTTGACTTCTGAAATGTACAATCGTAATGTTTTATTTTGTATGTTTTTTTTCCATTTTGACTTACTTTTTTCGAATGTACATTTGTAGTGTTTTTTATAATATTTTTTTTTCTTTTTGATTCGAATATTAATACCAATTTATTTTGACTCGATTTCTTGAGAACTGAAATAGAAGCCGGGTTACATTGAAGTGTAGTACCAAATTATGTGGTGGCGAAACGAAATAGATGTTATCGAAATAATTTAACGCGGTCACACCAAATTTAAGTCAAAGTTTCTAAAAATCTTGAAAAAAGAGATCTCATTGCAAAAATTCTCAAATCGGGGAAAAATTACATAAGGTATAACTAAAGAACGGCTTGACAATTCATACAATTTTGGAATGGTATCCAATAAAAATATTAATAAAAAATTTCTTTTTGGTGTGATTTGTTTCAATTTGACATACTATATTGAAGTGAACATTTTTTATTGCCTTGAAATCTGAATGAATAATATTTAAAATAAAATGAGTGACCTACGTGGACCTACATCTTTCATATGGCAATAATCCGCCCAATGAGAACTCAAAATGCAATTCATTGGAACTGCAGTCAGTGAAATACCGAATATAAAGGGTGCAAAATGGTAGAGCGAATTGGACATTTAGGAAAAAAGAAAGAAATTCTTCCTAAACTTTCAAGATTTTGCAGGTCATGATATATGACCCCCGGATAAGGGTACAACCCTATTTCAAGTATTGTTTACATTTTAACCACATTTTTCTTAACTCATTTTAATTTGATAAGAAACCATCCTCGCAAAATATGATCATGTTTTGGTATAACCATCATATAATTTAAGCCATGTTCGGGGTCTTCGACATTTTTTTCATCTTTAGGCCTTTATTTGGCATCTTTGTTTCTAAGGGTGTAAAAACCTTTTCTCATAACATTTTCAATTTTCGGAGTAGAGTCCATCTTGGTCTTGACCACATTCATCAATTGATTTGGCTAAAAAATTGTATTTAGGCAACTCTGGGGTAGAGAATCGTCCCTCAGATAATTGTCCACATAGGCATTTATTCGAATATAGTTCTCACATTAGTGTACCCACAAATCCGCTTTCCTAACCAATGTTTGGTCAGAAAAGAAAATTTGATATACTATTGAATTTGAAACTCCAAAGAGAATATTGGTTAGGAACGTAGATGTGGGATTAACATCTACATGCCATAAACTCCGAAATATCAAATTGTGGCAGAAACATTAAAAAATCACGAATATTAATTTTTTTGTTCGTTATTGAATTATACTATGATGAAAAATATGGACTTTATGGGTTCTCCAACTCACAATTTAAATGACAAAAATAAATTAATTAATATTCCACGGTAATGGGTGTAAAAAAGCAATTATCTTTGACTATTTTGAAATCATTCCGCCCTCAATTATGAGGTGGACAAAACTAAATACCACGCAGCACGGTATTCTTAACATTGGAAATTCAATACCAAAAATTTAGCTGAGTTTTCACATGGGGCTATTATAGAAGTTCTATATCATACAGGTTTTTAACACTCAATTATAGCCTTAGGCTGAAAAATAAGATCAGGCTATTCAAAATATCTAAAACCGACGGTAAATTATTATCTATTATAATTTTTCCCATGAATGTTTATTTCTATTTAGAAATTACTATGGAGTTATTTTACTTATAATAAAAATTGTGCCGCTTTCATAATTCTATAATGCTTAAAAAAATATGCATTATAGACTAAAAGTAGGGGCCGGCAACGCGGACCGGGCCAGCTAGTTTTATATATCTTAAAGAGGAGTAAATCTACCCGAAATTTTCAAAATAACGAAAATCAGGATGTATATGTTCCATTTCCGATATCAAACATTGTAGTTATAACATCATTGACCGCGCACAATGTCAAAGCTTTATCTTTAATATAGCGACTTTTATCGTGATTTCAATATAAAGAAATACAGATAGACGGTTGAAAAATAAAAAACAAAACTATTTAAGTAAAACAGTTTTAAATTATTGACTGCAATTTCAAAACATTTTTTAAACGGCCACAACACAGCAGCATTTTAAACCAGTTGATAATATAGGCTGATTCTTACTGAGAAAACGTTCTTAGTAAGGATTTCATAGTAAGGGCAGGAATACATCCAGTAAAACGTGGAGTGCGTGGTGGTCTAATAACTCCGAGCGGATTGTGACATCTCATTATTATCTACTTAAACCTAATTTATACGGATTGATATAAGTAGTAACCTATACCCGTGGTATTTCTATCTTCAGTATATAGTCAGTCAAAATAGACATAAAAGAAGTGGTCAAGCTGCCAAACCAGTTTCGGCCATCTGATTTTTACCTTCCGTAGGTTAGGTAGGAAAGAAATTGTTGAATGCTTCAAAGAGCAATAGACATTTCTGGCTGTCAGAGGACAATTTTTTTCTCAAATTTTTGCCAACATAGGTCCACTGTTTGGTATAGCATCCATTTCTAAGATTCTAGGAATGGGAACCACCGAAACTAACAGTTTTTCATAAACACTCAGGATTCAAATTGTTTTTAAAGATTTTTTTGATTTGATTTTCAAAAACAAATCCCCTTATCATTCGAAAATATTTCCTTCCTGAGTATTTTGAATAATTCGAATAGTCGAATATTTTTAATCAAAATTCGATACAAACTTCCAGTAATGTTATTAAGATTGTAGCCATAACAAATGTATTCAATAAAAGGAGAAAATTTATCATTGTTATAGTTCTTTTTATCGTATTTGCACCGGCATCGTCGTATAGCATTGGTATGGCTTCCAATATTCATTTCTCTTAGAACAATAAGTGTTTATGAATAAAAATAATTTACATGAGATGTTATTACATTCCATCTGATTTTTGATTATGTTATTTTTGTATGTATATTTCCTCTGAATTATTTATTTCAATTTGTTTGCGTTGCTTTCGCATTAAAAACAAATTACCATCATTTACACTCTGGTACCTTTTCCCCCCTAATAAATTCACGTTCCAAAAGGCTCAATCTGTTCTTGTGGAATTAATAGCGAAGGGCATATGATGGTAATATTTGTTAACCTCTGTGTGTGCGTGTATGTGAGTGAGGGAGTGGTTGTGGGGCAAGTTGTTTATTGTATTGCTTCTTATTTATTTATACCAATATGGACTTTTACCAATTCAACGGCCTGGCCTGCCTTGGCGCAGTTTCGGAAGTTATTGATTTTCTCCTTCAAAATCCAGGTATCCCGTTCATTGCTCTGCAACGGAACACCTTTGTTACCGTTAAGGCCATTACTTTCATCGTTCGATGAGTCGTAAGTAATAATGCCTCGTACCGTGTTCCGGTTTAACGTATTTTTTATTTTCAACTCTGATTACTGGTCGGGTGTCCTGCCCATAGCATACATTTGCAGCCAGTCCACCCCAGTCCTGGCCTGCAAATGATGCGGGCCAAAGTGGAGAGTTAACTTTATGCTCACTGACTCATTAACCTCAATGCAGGAAGATGTGTAATATTAATGAAAATGTTTTAATCACTCTCAATCAATACATTTTCAATTAAACGTAAAGTGTTCTCTAGATGTAAATAGGAAGCCTTGCCAGCTGCCTGCATACGCTATTGCGGTGATGAGTGGTGTGGGTGGCTGTAGTGCTATTGGGGGTTAATTCATTACCACATGGAAAAGCATAGGGTTTAATCCGAGCTGGTCGGTGGCATACGTTATGCACAGAATGGATGATGCATGTATTACTAATTCGCAAAACTCTTAAACTGGAAAGGAAACTGCACACTGAGTGGTGAGTGGGTTATAAGGTGGTGCACGTCTTTATACTACATTCCTTTAAATATAATTTTGTATGGCTGAAACACAAACGGTCGTAAATCATTTTTTTTTTTAATTTTTAGTTTATCTAAAATGTAAATAAAATGACAATTGATACTGTGCGAAGAAAATGCCTTTTTTCTTAAAAGTAAAAGGATTTTCGATAATTAATTAATATTAATAAAATTAATAATATTTTAAATAATAGCTATAAATAAATTATTTTTTACAATAAACGTAATCTCGAAATACCAACCAGTTATACTAAAAATATAAGAATCCTAAAACTTGAAATACCAAATAAAAGTGAACTTGGTGGGAAAATATTGTGTAAGGCCTTTAAATACATAAGGTCGGAGGTGTAGCACAACATGAAACAATTTCAATTCAAAGGGCTATTAAAGTAATGTTAATGTAAAATATTGAAGAGTCATCTGGAATATTGCAAATTCTAGGGGATTTTTTTCCAAACACGATATGAATAATAACCAATTAGGAAAGCATATAGGTCGGCCGTGCGGCTATATGATAACCTACACCAATATTCATATTAAGAAAGGTGCCCGTAACAAATTTACGTTTAAATTGGGAATTTGTGTGAAATTAATCATGCCAACTATAAACAAAAGCAAATAACAAAGTAGCTAAGATAAGCCGAGCCGATCTTTTAATACCCTCTACCATTTATATGGAACTTGTAACATTAAAAAAATCCGCTAAAATTGTTAAAAAAACCGAATACTTACTCGATACAGTTATATAGGGGATAGATATTGTATAGGCAATTGTCTGCCAATGGAAGATATTTGAATCCAGATACTTTTATATAAAAATGTTTTCTATAGCTAATGGTGGAGGGTATTTACAATTTGGCCCGGCTGAACTTTAAGTTTTTTATAAGTTTATGTTAGACCAACTGAAAATTTGATTTAATTAAAAAATGTAGCATTTTCGAAGAATTAAATGTTTAGAATAAAGTTGCCGACCACGTGTACTTGTGAATGTCCCTTAAAATTGGCCTATATTTCTACGGCCCGCAAAAAACATTATTGGCACAAGTTAAGTCTAGTTGAGTGGAACTTTTTCCATAGTTTTTATTTATGCGAAAGAATTTATCGTAATTCTTTTCTAAATATTTAAGAAATATAACCCCAATGCAATGTAATTGGTTTACGCAACATGTACATACATGTACACATACATACATATATTGTTCATTTAAATCCGTTTGCATCTCAGCCACATTCCATGTGCCTGAATATAAAGCAGCAATGATGATTGGTTTTGCGACTAAAATATGAATACACAGAATTATTTATTAACATACCTTCCAGTGTGTTGTCGTTATGTGACAGAATTGAGGGCATCAACGTTGTGGTGGGCTCGCTTGAACGCATATTAAAATCGAACGGATATGCAGCATTTGGTATTGCACCCTGCAGCTTAGGCGCCGGTGGTATGGCTTCACCCTCCTTATAGAACTGATCCTCGTCGTAGAGCTCGTCTTGGTCCAAATCAAGTTCACTTTGTTGTGGTTCGTCGGGTTCAGGTGCAGTTTCATAACGATCCTTGAGTACTTTTCGTGGTACTGTTGATAGAAAATGAAATAAAATTAAATATTGCCAAGCAAAAGGAACAATCTGCCACAATTGTTTCCCCGTGGCTCATAAAATAGTAATTTGAATGCAATTATGGCGAGTCTTTACATTTCATGCTGGGGTTTGTTTATTGAGCATCCCACTGATGAACAGTGGGATGTTTTTGAATTTATTCTTATTTCACCTTACTAATTTTTCTTTATTAAATGCTAAATATTGTTTGCAGCGAAGAACGCTAGTGGCCTAATTAAATTATGAACATAAGTCGAAGTAAATAAGGGGAACACTTTCTTTTTGTTTTTGTTATTAGAAATATAACTCATGGATGGAACATCTTATATACAATTCTTTCGCTCAACTTTAATGAAATGATTATCAAATTTTTGCAAGTAAATAATGTTTTCCCACAAAGAAATGTTGTATGAAAATACTATTTACAACTCTAAGCAATATTGAACATTACTCGGAATCAAATCATCGGAATTGTCAAATATGTCTATACATAAAAGAAAGTTGTGTTAGTTACTACGCTTATAACTCAAGAGCCGCTGGTCGGATTTTAACGATTCAAATTCGGAATTGTCTCTTGAAATAAAAAAAAATGTCAAGTTTGAAAATTTTCATTTTGACTTTTGAAATGTACAATTGTAATCTATATATATAAATGTAAGTTGTGTTAGTTACTACGCTTATAACTCAAGAACCGCTGATCTGATTTTAACGATTCATACAAATTCTGAATTGTCTCTTTTCCGAAAAGGATAATATTCAAAAACATCGCGTAAAAATGTGATATATTAACATTTTCATTTTGACTTCTGAAATGTACAATCGTAATGTTTTATTTTGTATGTTTTTTTTCCATTTTGACTTACATTTTTCGAATGTACATTTGTAGTGTTTTTTATAATATTTTTTTTTTCTTTTTGATTCGAATATTAATACCAATTTATTTTGACTCGATTTCTTGAGAACTGAAATAGAAGCCGGGTTACATTGAAGTGTAGTACCAAATTATGTGGTGGCGAAACGAAATAGATGTTATCGAAATAATTTAACGCGGTCACACCAAATTTAAGTCAAAATTTCTAAAAATCTTGAAAAAAGAGATCTCATTGCAAAAATTCTCAAATCGGGGAAAAATTACATAAGGTATAACTAAAGAACGGCTTGACAATTCATACAATTTTGGAATGGTATCCAATAAAAATATTAATAAAAAATTTCTTTTTGGTGTGATTTTTTCAATTTGACATACTATATTGAAGTGAACATTTTTTATTGCCTTGAAATCTGAATGAATAATATTTAAAATAAAATGAGTGACCTACGTGGACCTACATCTTTCATATGGCAATAATCCGCCCAATGAGAACTCAAAATGCAATTCATTGGAACTGCAGTCAGTGAAATACCGAATATAAAGGGTGCAAAATGGTAGAGCGAATTGGACATTTAGGAAAAAAGAAAGAAATTCTTCCTAAACTTTCAAGATGTCTTAAATCGCTTTTGCAGGTCATGATATATGACCCCCGGATAAGGGTACAACCCTATTTCAAGTATTGTTTACATTTTAACCACATTTTTCTTAACTCATTTTAATTTGATAAGAAACCATCCTCGCAAAATATGATTATGTTTTGGTATAACCATCATATAATTTAAGCCATGTTCGGGGTCTTCGACATTTTTTTCATCTTTAGGCCTTTATTTGGCATCTTTGTTTCTAACGGTGTAAAAACCTTTTCTCATAACATTTTCAATTTTCGGAGTAGAGTCCATCTTGGTCTTGACCACATTCATCAATTGATTTGGCTAAAAAATTGTATTTAGGCAACTCTGGGGTAGAGAATCGTCCCTCAGATAATTGTCCACATAGGCATTTATTCGAATATAGTTCTCACATTAGTGTACCCACAAATCCGCTTTCCTAACCAATGTTTGGTCAGAAAAGAAAATTTGATATACTATTGAATTTGAAACTCCAAAGAGAATATTGGTTGGGAACGTAGATGTGGGATTAACATCTACATGCCATAAACTCCGAAATATCAAATTGTGGCAGAAACATTAAAAAATCACGAATATTAATTTGTTTGTTCGTTATTGAATTATACTATGATGAAAAATATGGACTTTATGGGTTCTCCAACTCACAATTTAAATGACAAAAATAAATTAATTAATATTCCACGGTAATGGGTGTAAAAAAGCAATTATCTTTGACTATTTTGAAATCATTCCGCCCTCAATTATGAGGTGGACAAAACTAAATACCACGCAGCACGGTATTCTTAACATTGGAAATTCAACACCAAAAATTTAGCTGAGTTTTCACATGGGGCTATTATAGAAGTTCTATATCATACAGGTTTTTAACACTCAATTATAGCCTTAGGCTGAAAAATAAGATCAGGCTATTCAAAATATCTAAAACCGACGGTAGATTATTATCTATTATAATTTTTCCCATGAATGTTTATTTCTATTTAGAAATTACTATGGAGTTATTTTACTTATAATAAAAATTGTGCCGCTTTCATAATTCTATAATGCTTAAAAAAATATGCATTATAGACTAAAAGTAGGGGCCGGCAACGCGGACCGGGCCAGCTAGTGATATATATTTCATGATTGTTTTCCATTTTGATTTTTTAAATTCTATTGAATTCTAATATGATGTGTAGTTTTTAAGGGAAGTACAAAGCGACAACAGACAAAACTGTTTTTTTTTTATATATAGACCATTTAAAAGAAAGTTATGATATAACTCAAGAACAGCTCGACGGATTTTGACAATTCATACAATTCCGGAATTGTATCTTGGCATTAAAATGAAATGAGTGCGCAATACGATGTTAAATGGTGATCTTTCATGATCATGCGAACACATTTAAAAAAACACAAATGGCCGACAAAGCGTTATGGGGCTCATTTCAAAACGTGGAATGTTGATCGAATGGACATTCGGTAAGAAAAGGATTCATATCCTTCCAAAAATACTTTCTAAACTCTCAAGATACCTTAAATCGTTTTAGCAGGTCATGTTATGTGTCATAACCCCCGTATAAGGGCACAACCCGATATTAAATATATTTTACATTTTAATCATATCTTTCATACTTATTTCGACAAATGTTGGTAATTTGAGAAGAAACCATCTTTGCAAAAAATTATAACTTTTTGGTATAACCATCATAGGATTTAAGCTATTTTCGGAATCTTGGCCACTTGTTTCATTTTTTTTGACCCTTATTTGGCATATTTGTTTCTAAAGGGGATAGAAAACATCTTCTCATGAAACTTAAAAAATTAGGAGTAGTTCATTTTAATCTCGACCACATTCATCAATTGTTTAGGCTTAAAAATTGTATTTAGGCTACTCTGAGATAGAGAACCATTTTACACATAGGCATTTATTTAAGTATAGTCTCCACATTAGCGTACCCCAAGTCCACTTTCCCAACCAATGTGTGGTCAGAAAATACAATTTTATATTCTATTGAATTTATAACTTCTTAGAGAATGTTGGTCGGGAACGTAGATTTAGGATGTACGTCTATACGAAATAAACTCCAAAATGTCAAACTGGGTCTCATTTATTCGGAAATTGTGGCAGAAACATGAAAAAAATTACGAACATTAGAAAGTAGCACGGGACCGAACATTTGTTTAATCGTCGTTGCTATGGTGAAGAATATGAACTTTATGGGGTCTCCAACGCACAATTTAAATTACAAAAAAAAAAAGAAAATAAATAATTCCCATCTTATGTTAATGGTTGTAAAAGCGTAATTATCTCTGACTATTCTGAAAACTAAATATCGTGTAGCATGGTATTCTAAACATTGGAAACACAAGTTCCAAATTACAGTTTATTTGAATGAAAAACTACACTATATTGTGTTCAAATTATGTTTTTATTGAATTTTCGGCTATCTCCCCAAAGCTCAGTAAAAGAGATTAAAACGAGAAATCTTTTTGATCATTTTTATACTCCGAACTTACAACATTTTAATGGAAAAAATTGTTCAGTAAAATTTTTCAAGTTCTAACATGTGGATTTTTCAAAACCATTTTCATACATCTTGGAGTAAGAGTAAGACATTTTTACTGAATATTGCATTTATGGTCTGTAATTGACCATGGCAAATTTAACTTCATGAAAACCAGGATTCTTGTTAAATGAAAATGTGAAATTAGGACCATTCACTTTATAATATTTTTCCTTTATATATATATTTTTAATTCACAATTTCATAAAGCAATAATTGAGCTCCATGTTCTTATCTCTGATTTGCTTAAACTCAATGTATTAATGAACATACATTTTGAGAATGTGATTTTGCCACAGGCATAATTGTAAAAATTGTAAACATAAGACATACAAGTTTACCTTCTTAATTCCAAAATGATTGCATTTTTACTTTTTTTAATATTTCAATGGTAGAGAGGAACGGGTGGACCGATTTGAATAATTTTTTGTACAAACATTCGTCATACCCCGAGTTAGGTTTTTGACGAACAAAATATTGACCACGACTACTTTTACGCCAACTCTTTCGATTCATCTAAAATCCTTATGTTTGCCAAAAAATGAAGATATCGGTTTCAGAATTATTACACGAGATGCTGTTGGCTTTCCATCCAACCCTAAGTACTTATTTAGGAGCTGAGTAACGCGCCTACTTTTAAATCTATCTCTCTCTATATGTAAAAGAAAGTTTTGTTAGTTACTACTCTTATAACATAAAGACCGCCGGTCTGATTTTAACGATTCAGACAAATTCGGAATTGCCGCTTGGCAAAAAAGAATAAAATCCATAAAATTGCGTAAAAATGTGAAATTTGAACATTTTCATTTTGACTTTTAATATGTACAATAGTAATGTTTTATACTGCATTTTTTCCATTTTCACCTACTATTTTCGAATGTACATTTGTAGTGTTTTTTTTTTTTTTTTTTTTTTTGGAATTCAAATATGATGTGTAGGTTTTTTTTGGGTAGTATAAAGCCACAACGGATAAAACTGTTATTTATAGATTTTATGTATTTATTCCTATTACCCAATAAATACATAAAATCTATAAATAACAGTTTTATCCGTTGTCGCTTTATATGAAAATTCTAAAATCGGGAAAAATCGACAATTTTTCAATGGAATCGAATTTTAAAATAATAGTACATTCCAAAGACAAACTTCGTAAGGACCTTTAAAAATTTGCCGCAAAAAATCAGTGAACCAGTTGAAGATTCTTTTTCTTTTTTCTATATTAAGTGTACATTTTTTATTGATTTGAATTATGAATGAATAATATTAAAAATGAAATGAGGGCGCAATACGATGTTAAATGCTTTCTACTCCAGGACCTACATCGTGCTTCAACTGGAAGATGCAAGCGCATTTAAACAAACAAAAATGACCGAAAAAGCTTTATGGGATTAATTTCAAAAAGTGGACCTGCTTTTTTCATATGACAATAAATTGTCAAATGAGAACACAAAATGCAAAATACATTGGGACTGCAATCAGTCAAATACCGACTATAAAGGACGTAAAATAGAAATTCTTCCTAAATATTCAATATATCTTTAATCGCTTTGGCAGGTCATGATGTGGGTCATAACCCCCGATAACGGAACAAGGGGAAGAAAACCTCTTCTTATAAAATTTTTATTTTTCGGAAAAGGGCGTATCTTAGTCTTGAGGCTACCTGGGGTAAAAAACCCTCGGGTAGAAAATCATCTTACAGATAATTATCCACATATGCATTTATTTAAATTTAGTCCCCACATTAGTATACCCCAAGGAAAGAAAATTTGGTATTCTATTGAATTTGTAACCCCCAAGAGAATATTGGTTGGGCACGTAGATTTGGGATGTACGTCTATATGAAATAAACTCCGAAATGTCAATCTGGGACTCATTCAGTCGGAAATTGTGGCAGAAACATGAAAAAAATACGAAATTATAAAGTAACTTTATTGGATCTCCACCGCATAATTTAAATGACAAAAAATTAATGCCCATCTTACGGGCTATTCTATTTTTTTTTTTTGGATATTCTGATAACATTCTGCGTTCAAGTATGAGGTGGACAAAACTAAATACCACGCACTATGGGATTTTAAACGTTGGAAATACAAATTTCAAATTATAGCTCATTTGAATGCTTTTTACAATACCAAAAATTGAGCTGAATTTTCACATGGGGCTATTATAGATGTTCTTTATCATATCGGTATTTAACACTCAAGCTTAAAGCCCATAGCTGAAAAATAAGATCAGGCTATTCAAAATATCTAAAACCGACGGTAATTATAATTTTTGCCGTAAATATTAATTTATATTTAGTCATGGAGTCATTACTCATAATCAACTTATTACTTATAATCAAAATTGTGCCGCCTACATAAGTCAGATCTGTGATTTATTATGCTTTAAAGACTAAAAGTACGGGCCGGCAACGCGGACCGGGCCAGCTTTTTTGACATTTCATTTGACATTTCTTTCCAAATTGTCTTTCAAATTTTGTATAGGCCTTTGTATAACGAATATATATTTTTTGTGTTTTCTTTTAAGATTTATTTGTAAGATTTTCCCAAATTCGATGTGAGCTTTAACCCTGTCCCGGACATTCATCGGGCATAGCCTTTTTAATTTTGTTTATAACTATAAAATGCAACATATTTTTAAATATGGAAATTTTCAAGAAGAAAAATATATACATTGTGGCTATAGCCCCCCAGTTCAAACCATTTTAAAATATTGCATACCAAATACTAACCTGGCTCAACCTAGATTCTAAAAACTACAAATGCGTTTATTTGCAAATATGCTTAAATATTTAGTTAAATCCAAATTGTATACCACTGTTACCCTGTCATATGGCGGTGTATTAGACAATACTTACTGCAAGTGTAAACGACTTTCAAATGCATCGGTATATCATTTTTGCATGGTCTTCCGAATGTACCAGCATCCGCTGTCACTGAACAACGACGTCGTCCGTGGCAAATTTGCATAACCGTCTCCGTGGCATAAGACACCAGGCAAGCTGCGGGCAAAAGTAATAAGGAAAGTGAGAGAGAAAGAGAAAAAATAAGGAGCAAGCCACATGATTAAGTTTCATCATCTAAAGTGTATAACGTATTTGAACATTGCATTGCACATTACTCTCTGCTTGGCAGGCAGTAAGACATCTCGTTGTTCACATTTTGCAAATGCAAATAGACGCACACACTAACAAACACGCAATTACGGGTTGACAGGGCGAAATGGCAGCCCTAATTGAATCTCACAAACAAACACATCTAGCTATTGCTAATACTCACTCTGTTTACCAGTCGTATCCGGCGTAGTCTGCGTCTGGGACGACTGTGGGCTGCTGCTGCTGCTGTTGTGCGGACATTGTACACTTTCACGCTCTATGTAGCCAAACGAGGCGCTATAGATGGCTATTCTGGAGTAGGGATTACACACAAGTGGCATATTGTCGTTTTCACATGCCACTTTGGATCGAAACTCGTCTGCAAGAAGGAGAGAAAAATTCGTTAGGTTAGCTTCTCTAGAATGCTGCGTAGAAGGTATTTGTTGTAATGGCCCTTTCACACTATTCCCGTCGTGGACCACCCTCTTAATGGGAAAATGTATCAAATGTCATAAAGTTTAATTTAATCGCCATTGCAGATTATGTCATGGCCCTTCTCACTGTTCACAGTGCTAGCAGCCGGATGCCGGAGTTTTTTTTTTGCGAAATATTTGGAGACATCATCTGGCACTTAGCTTCCACGGACACTGAGCATGGTGAGTCCTTGAGCGAAGACAGTGAACGTTAACATGTTTATCTGGAAATAAGATTTTCCAATTTCCGTTTACTTTCGCTTGGATTTGAACAATTAAATAAAAATTGTCAACTGAATTTTACAGTGAAGTGGCAATGCTCCGTGAAGCATTTCCGCTTTCCTTGCTTCGTTCCAATTGAATGTGGTGACAATGCCTATTTCATTGTTATCAGCTCCTCGGTCTCGCTGAGCTGTGATTCCGTAACGAAATCTAATTGCAATCAAGTTGGAGAACAACAGCAATGAATCGGTACATTTGATTACACAAAATGGCCACCGTGGGATAATTTGTTTGTGGTAGACAAAGTTTCGGTTTATTCTATCTAAGCAGATATGTAACTTCATTATGAGAAGATATTGGCTCATAAATTGATTTAACCACAAATTGAAAGAATTTGTCCCAGCGCAGGAAAATTCCCACACATAGAAAATTGTCAATTCAGTGTGTGTATTGAATTGAAATGAATGAAGCAAAGCTAAATCTAAAGGAAAAAAATTAAAGTAATATTGTTGAATTTGTATGTTTTTGTTTATTTAGAAATTCAAAAGGAAATGGAATTAATTTAAGTCGCCCAAGGGAATATTACTTATGTTTGACGCGCCACCACACCACCACACAGCAAAAGGTTTGCACAAGGTGGTGCAATCATGAGTTAAAGTGATTTAGGTCCACATCATTTTCGTAAACAAAGCCATGATTTTTACAAAGACATGTTACTGCTAGGTTGCAGTCCTTTACTCTTTTCGACAATATGAAGTAGAAAAATTACCGCCGTTTTTTTAATTTTTTAAAACCTTACCGGGCTGTTGAAAAAATACATATGTAGCCTTATTTTTTAAAAGGGGGTCACATCCCCGAAAATTTAGTTTTGACTAAAGCGAATGAAATTTGAATTCCCGAATTGAAAATATTAAATTAAACATGCAGTATTCCCCCATTGGCTTCACTTCATGTCACTCTCTATTACACAGCGGAGTAATTTTTAAAACGTAATAGACAGCTTTGGAATATTTACTGACACTAAAAGAGATTGATTTTCACCAAAGTCGGCATATCAAAAAGCTGGAAATGCCTAATACTATTCCGAGATGAAATTATGATATTCGTAACGATTATCAAATAGGGTAAGTGTGCCTAAGTTCGGCATGTCCCAGTAGTCGGCACTTTTTATTTTTAAGCCCAAATAAATGAAACTATTATAACTAAATGTATTTTGCTTACTTCAAATATATTGTCAGCTATCTTTGTATACAATTTCGGTAAGAAAAGATGAATTATTCTAATAAAAATTAAATTTTTGTCTGTGAATATCCTCAACAATCCATATTCTTAAGAAAAGTACAATAAAGACGTCGAATCAGTTTAACTAAACAAAAATATTATATTTTAATGAATTAATTTATTATTATTATTAATTATTCTTACAAAAAAATTGGTATGCCGACTGTTGGAACATGCCATACCGACAATTGGCAAGTGGTGCCGACTACTGGCAAAAAAGCATTGTTTTAATAAAACTACAAATTTATGAAATTTAATAAACAATTATTAAAACTTTATTTATTATTGCAAAAACTATACAAAATTTCGAATCTGAATACATTAACTTTGTAATAATTGAAAAGTTCCACTCAGAATGGTGAGCGATTAAAAACGCGAAAATCCTAAAAGTGCCGACTACTGGTACACTTACCCTATTGCGAATCTGTAAGTTCCGTTTTGAAAAACTAAAGTCCCTCTATTGGGGTGTTCTATTTAATTGAGGGTATAATGAACAATTTCGAAGAGTTTTACAAATTTCCAATTTTTTATAAGTTCTGTCAATTTGGCTTGCGATCCAAAATAATATACACCCAAAAGCATTAGACCATAGTTGTGAACTCAACTATTTATAACCTACACCACAAGGTGGTAAGGGTATTATGACTTGGTGCATTTGTTTTTAACAGGCAAAAGGAAACGAGAAAGCCCATAGTTCCTTTTAATGGTCTGCATAGAATCACATTCTGAGTCGATTTATGCATGTCCTTCCGTCTGTCCATGTATTTTTGTAAATAAAGTACAGGTCGCATTTATAGCTCAATCCAGATGAAATTTTGCACAACTAATTTGTTTGGCTTAAGGACGAAACCTATTGAAATTGGAGAAAAAATCGGTCAAAATTTAGATATAGCTCCCATATATGTCTTCGTCCGATTTGCTTTTTATTGTGCACCAAACTTGTAATATCAGCTCAAATAGTATGGAATTTTGCACATAAGACCAGATTGAGCCTAAAAAAAAATATTCCAAATTTGATATCAATCGGCTCAGATATAGCTATAGGTCCCACATATATTGCTCATACGATTTGTTATATTTGTCCTCCGCAGCCGTAATATACATTCTGTAACAACGACATTTAGGGAAATATAACAAATACAACTCAGAAATATCCTTGCTAAATTTTATCGAGATCGGTTCAGGTTTGGATATAGCTCCCATATATATCTTCGTTCGATTTGCCTTTTAATGTGCACCAAACGTGAAATATTGGAATGGAATTTGACACTTTCGACCGAATTGAGTCTGGAAATCGGTTTAGATATAGCTATAGCTTATCTAAATTCATTTGTTGAATTTTCCCTGCACAGCCGTAATATGGAATCCGTAGTAACGATATTCGGGGATATATGTGAAATACAGCTCAGAAATACTTAGCCAAACCTTTCAAGTTAATTGTGCACCAAATGGGTAATACAAGCCTGAATTAAAAAGGCACAAATGCCTTGTAGAAACCGACTCAGTGGATGATATTCCTCTCATATATTAGTTCCTTCGGCCTTTATAATCACAGTTGGTATGATTTAATTCTCAGAAATTCCCCATAAAAGCTTTAATTTGTTATGTGAAGCTCTGCTAAATATATAAAGTGGTGTAGGGTATCATAAAGCCGACCCGACCGACTTTAAGACTTTCTTTACAGTTTTTTAATATAATCCTTCTCGAAGTGATAGCATAGCAATGTTATTTGGTATAAAAGATTAAAATGTCTCTGTCAAATTTGGTAAAAATTGATTCAGAATTGAAATCAAACTGTAAAGTCAAATGTTGATAGGTGGTATGGTCTACTTCAAAAAAATTTGTTACGAGAGCTCTACTAAATATGCATAGTGGTGTGGGGTATCATATAGTTGGCTTCGCACGAGTTTTGACATTTCATACTGGTTTTCATTTTTAGTCCGCCCTAGTGTCAAAAATCGTTATTTCGATGAGACACATTTTGAACACACCAATTGATGAGTTCCACCAGTACCCAAAACTATAATTTTTTATCTATTTTTCCACATAACGGAATAAATGTAGTTAATCTATGTATGTAGGTCATTGTAATAAGTAACGAAAACAACATTGTGTTTGGAAATGCAAACCATCATTGGAAACATGTTAATTCAGTATTGTGTTTGAAGGGACCACCTACTATGAGAATGCGATTTCATAATGAAACTGTTCCAAAAATTAAATTTAGAACATTTGTTTTACTATTTTAAATCCAAATATTTGCTGGCTTCAAAACGAATATATACAGAAACAATCACAAATCTCGTATTTATTGCAAAACAACAACTGGTAGAAGATTTATTTCACGCTATTGTGGATTATAGTAGCAAAAGTATGACAAAATGGAATGCGTGCCAAACCTCGTCCCCAGTAGCCAGTTCTTGGAATGTTTAGTCAGATAAGTAGGACAATGTAAAAAAGAAAATAAAAACAGCAGAATCATCCTTTTAGTTTCCTTGATAAATATCACCACAGTTTTTTATGGATTTCTCTGTATTATTTATGTGTTTTCGTTTATTTCAAAACATATTAAACTTGTATTTCTATTTGGCTTTTTTGCAAATAAAAAGAATTGTTTTATAAATTTGACACTTAATTTAAGAAACGCCAAATTGCGAAAGACCGTTTTTATTTAGTATTATTAACCCATGCTTATAACAAATTTCATTTGTCATTTGCTATAAGGAGGATTTAGAATAAAATAGTTTTGGGACTCATTTGGAAATTCTGTTTTTTGAATAAAATTTTATTAGAAGAATTAAAAAGTGTTAGACATCCTGCGTTTGATGACAAAGTTTTACGACTACGTTCTTGATGCCAAAGAGTTTAGGATTGAAAAAAGTACTCAAATGTAGTCTCAGTAATACCACGAAAAATTTTATGAAGAATTTGTAATTGGTTTCCAATTTTTCAACGTAGAATGAAAAGACGGAAGAAAACGATAAATTTGCTCAGTTCCGGAATCTGCAAAGATCACCTCCTTTTGCAGTTTTATCGATATCATAATCGAAAAATCCTTTAACGTAGTGAAAATTGTTACTTTCTTGCAGTTTCTGGAACAGATCAATTGTTTATAAGTTGGCCATACCCCAACTAGGTTTCGGAGTCGATCATATTGAAAGGTCAAAAAGAGGTCGACACCACAGCCCTGCCTTGTACCAAAAAGTTGCTATTATTGTTATACCCCATAACACCATGTGTTGGGGGTATTACAAGTTTTATTGGGCCAAAAATTATGTAACACCTCGAAATATTGGTTCCCGACATAGGATGCTATGGATATATATATATATGGATCTTCCTATCTCACCGAGCTGAGTCGACCTAGCTATGCATGTCCGTCCGTCCGTAAGTCCGTCTATCT